CTCTGAAATGCTTGTTTTTTGTACCACACCACACCAGTAGGCCCTCTTGCCTTCGGCCTTGCTCTGAGGTCCCTGCCCTCATGGTACCCAAGGAACAGAAGAACTCAGGGACAGTGGCCTTGGCTTCATGTCCTGGGCACTCTCCAAAATGGGCCTTTGTCCTTCTCAGAACAGCCTTGACTTCCAGGAAGCTTTCCAGATCCCCTTGAGGGAAGCCTTCTCCCCTACTCTGAACCAGCCTTCGGCCTGTTATTGGCCCCTATCCACTTGGCCCTTTCTCCCTTTGTGAAGAGCCTCTGTTCCTGAGCCCCAAGGATGAGGGACCCTGTTGGATTAATTCACAGGGCTGGGGGAAGGGAACCGCTTATGCCTGTCCAGGAGTGGATGAACTTTCCCAAGCACAGGGAGAGCCAGCGTGTGCCTCAGCCCCCACTACAGGCCTAGGAGCCGGAGACAGGAGAAAGGCTGGGACATGCTGACTAGATGGAAAGTGTGTGTCAAGAAAAACTCCAAAGAAGAAAGGACACCTGGAAAGTCTGGCTGAGGTGGGGACTCCCCCCGAACATTGAAGGCTCAGAGTTAAAAAGTGAGGGGTGAGCAGGTAACTGAAGATGCCCTCTTGGGCCTCCGCCTCTCTGGGGTTTGAAGCAGGAGAATCAGCTAAGCCAACTGCCCTACACATGTAGGGTGACTGAAGGGGGAGGGAGTGGTGGGGGAGGACATCCTGCTGTGACACTTGGCAGGGGCCAGAATGGCAACTTTCCAGATGGGAGTTCAGCAGTTCCTTGCCCAGTACACACTACCCCCCTGTCTGGGATAAAAATAGCCCTTCCTCTTCCCTTCTCCCATCATTCTCTTTCACCTCCAACTTTCCAGAGTTGGATCAGATATGTCCTTCCGCCCTGGAGACCCACCCAGATGCTAAAATCCCCTCACATGTCCACACACTCCCCTCAGGAGATGCCTCCCTCTCTCAAGCGATATTGGTCACTGAGGCTAAAGTCACTCTTCACGTGGCCATCTTGATGCTCTGGGTGACTCGCTCTCTCTCTATCTCCCTCTCTTTCGATTCTTGTCACTGGGGTCTGTCCCAGGAACCAGCAGGATTCCTGGGTCCCTGGACTAAAGCCCGTCCATCACCCTACTCCATGGGTGCAGGACCGCGGAGGCCGTCACTCTCTCCCAGGTCCCAGCTCCGCCATTGCCTTGCTGAGAGACTGTGGGCAGCAAGTGCCTTGCCTTCTCTGGCCTCAGGAGCTCATCCTCATGGACTGAGGGACCAGACTTGGTAATTTCTGAAGGCCTTTTTTTTTTTGAGTTGGAATCTCACTTTGTCACCCAGACTGGAGAGCAATCTCGACCTGCGGGGCTCAGGCTATCCTTCAGCCTCAGCCTTCAAGTAGCTGGCACTACAGGCACGTACCACCATGCCTGGCTAACTTTTTGATTTATTGTAGAGATGAGGTCTCGTCAAGTTACCCAGGCTGGTCTCGAACCCATGGGCTCAGGCAATTCTTTCACCGCGGCCTCCCAAAGTGCTGGGATTATAGGCATGAGCCACTGCGCCCAGCCTCGGAAGGCCTTTTAAATACCTGACAGTTCATACGCTGGGTATCCAAGAAACATGCTCCCAGGGAGGTGGGGGCTGTTGGTGGACAGGGTGGCAGAGGCAAGAGCCACCAACGTTGCAGGAAAGAAGTGATCCAGCTTCACTGCCTGCCTGCCACCTGACCTCCCACCTGACCCCATCTGTCTCCCAGCTTGAAGACCTGCTGCGTCCCTGGGGAACCTGGCCCCACACGCAGCAGCAGTCTTCTGCTGTGGGGTGTCCCACCACAGTCCCTAGACCCGTGCTCCAGGGCTTCTTACCTGCCCGGCCTGGGAGCTCTCTGGCCCCACTCACATGGTCCTTCTGGCCTAGCCTGGCTGCTGCCTGGACAGTCTCAGCTCCCCTCGCCGTTGCAGCCACCGCCTGTCTCTCTGCACCCACGTCCCACCCTGACTTCCTGCCTCCTCATGAGGGCTCCGCAACCAACCAGGCCCCAGCAGCCCAACCACAAGCCTCCAGCACCCCAAGCTTCCTGCCGCCATAGCCCCCCACCCCTCAGCCCCTGGGGGTCCCCTACATCTCCAGGCCAGGCCCTACTCCTACCCCCTAAGATTTGCACTTGGAGGTTTAAAGCTGAGGGGAAGGTGTTGGTGGACCCTCCCTTCTGCCCTCGGGGATGCACCTGAGCGAGAGATCCAAGGGCTGCCTTTGACCCCCGTGAGCTGGAAGCCTGCAGACACACATGCTGAGCTCACAGTGAAAGGCAGGTCGCTCCTCTGTTATAGTCTCAGAGCTGAGTGGCCCTTTTGTTTTAGTCCGATAGCAAAAGCAACATCCTCAGAGTCAGAGGAGAGGACAATATCCCCATTAAGCAGTTGGAGAGGCACCGCACATACCACAGTTAGATGTCGGGCTAAAACGCTGCTACAGTCAGCTGGAAGAACAATACCCATGTCGTCTCAGAGCACAGGACAATAGCTTTATTATAGTCAAGAGTCAGCTAAGGATGGGCCAACAGCCTGCTTACAGACAGAATACTGGACAGCAGCCTGTTTTCGAAGGTAGGCAGGACAACCCCACATCTTCAAGAGGGCATAGTGACATCCCCCACAGTAGTCAAAGGGCAGGACAATGCCCACTAATCATGGCCGGAGAGTCAGGTAGAGGCAAAGCCACAGCCTCTGGTAGAGGTGAAGGGCTTAGCCCCATCTCTTGCCACAGGTGGAAGGACAGAATAAACATGCCTGTCCAGGCACCCAGGTGCAGGCAGCAGACTGTCAGAACTTTCTGTTATAGGCAGGCGGCAAGACACTCATCACAAGCAGCAAGCAGGCCAAGAATTTCCCCTTCCCTTGGGGCCAAGCTGAGGGTGGCATACATCATAGGCTGAGGGCCAGGGCATCAGTGATGTGAGGAACCCCAGGTGGTCACTATCAGGCTCTAGAGCTCGGCCTTGACCTCAGCAGGAGGAAAGTGTAAATGCGTCAATGCCTGAGCTAGCGGGTGGGGTGAGGGGCGCCCACAGAGCATTGTTGGGGTTTGTGAGGTGGAAGCTGATACTGTGTGCATCTCAGCTGCGGAGGGAGGGGGGGCAGGAAATGGGTGGGGGAAGAGGAAGCCTGAGTTGGAAAGTCAGACAAAGAGGGTAACAGAGAAACAAAGGCTGAGAGATACCAAGTAAAAAACCTGCAGAGTGTTACAGAGCCTGAGTTGGGGCTCCAGGCCCGGTGCAGTGCCCAGCTGCCCTTGCAGTGTAAACCTGACCACTTCACAGGCCATCTCAGGGCCTGCACATAAGAATAACAAGCCTGAGGTGAGTGGAATGCCTGAGCCCACGGGTTCGAGACCCGCCTGGGCAACTTGACGAGACCTCATCTCTACAACAAATCAAAAATTAGCTGGGTGTGGTAGTGCACGCCTGTAGTTACAGCTACTTGGAAGGCTGAGTCGGAAGGATCGCCGGAGCCCAGCAGGTTGAGGCTGCAGTGGCTGGGAATGGCCACTGCACTCCAGTCTGGGCGACAGAGTGAGACTCCAACTCAAAAATAAATGAATAAAATAAATAAATAAATAAATAAAAGTATATCTACTTTATAAAAAAAAAGAAAAGAAAAGAATAACAAGCAACAGCTCACATTTACTGTATTAAGGAACCTCCTCAAGGTCTAATTGAAATAAACAGGGGCCGGGTACAGTGGTTCACGCCTGTAATCCCAACACTTTGGGAGGCAGAGGGGAGAAGACTGCCTGAACCCACGAGTTCGAGACCAGCCTGGACACCTTGGCGAGACCTCATCTCTACAATAAATAAAAAAAATTAGCTGGGTGTGGTAGCGCGCGCCTGTAGTTCCAGCTACTTGGAAGGCTGAGGCGGAAGGATCGCCGGAGCCCAGCAGGTCGAGGCTGCGGTGGCCGGGAGTGGCCACTGTACTCCAGTCTGGGCGACAGAGTGAGACTCCAACTCAAAAAAAAAAAGAAAAGAAATAAACAGGGAAGGCTAGGTATCGTATCGTGGCTCACACTTGTAATCTCAGCACTTTGGGAGGCCAAGGCTGCATGAGGCCAGGAGTTTGAGAACAGCCTGGGCAATACAGCAAGACCTACTCTCTACAAAACATTTTTAAAAAAATAGCTGAGCCAGGCTTGGTGGCTCAGTCTGTAATTCCACGCCTTTGGGAGGCTGAGGTGAGTGGATTGCCTGAGTCTGCGGGTTCGTGACCCGCCTAGGCAGCGAGACCTCATCTCTACAATAAATTAAAAAAAAAATCAACTGGGCGTTGTAGCGCATGCCTGTAATTCCGGCTACTTGGAAGGCTAAGGCAGAAGGATCGCCGGAGCCCAGCAGGCGAGGCTGTGGTGGCCGGGAGCAGCCACTGCACTCCAGTCTGGGCAACTGAGACTCCAACAAAAAAAAAAAAAAAAAAATAGCTGAAAGTGGTAGCTGATTTTTGTAGTCCTAACTACTAGGGAAAGGCTGATACAGGGGGATTGCTTGAGCCCAGGAGTTTGAGGCTGCAGTGAGCCAAGATTACACCATTGTACTCCAGCCCTGTCTTTAAAAAAAAAAGGAAGAAAGAAATGGGGGAGCTGGCTCTGAACCTAGGTCTACCAGATTCTGCATTCTTTTTCTTCAGCAGCACAATGTACCTAAGTCATCTCCCATGGGCCTACAGTGGACCAGGGTGGTCTCAGCGACAGATGACAGACAGATATGGGCCTTGCACTTGAATAAACGACTGCAGAGACCTTGATGGGAAGCACAGAGAGCATTTATTGGGAAGTTTGAGGGTCTGAGCTCTTCCCCTTCCCCCTTGCCAGCTGGGGCGGGAGACGCAATAGGAGCTGAGAAACTGGAGTGTGTCCCCAGCTCTTCCACCAGGTGCTGGCGCCTCTAGGGCATCCCTCCCATCCCCCTTCCCAGACAGGCAGGAAAGCAGCAGTGGGTGCAGCGCAGGTGGCCCTCAGCAGAGAGTGAAGCGTCGGGCGCTGATGTTCATGCGAGTGAGGCCCAGGTGTCGCAACGGCGGGGCCAAGGCCAGGCTGACCCCGGGTTCCAGCTCCAGCTCCAGCTCGGCCTCATCCAGTAGCTCCTGGTGCAGGTGGCAGGCTTGGTCCACCTTCAGCCGATGCAGCCGGGCCCGCAGCCGCAGCAACTGCCCGGCCAGCTGTCGGTCCTGAGCTTGCATCTCCCGCTGCGACCGAGAGGGGGCGTGAGCCTGCTGGACAGGCTCTTTGCCTCCCACCCTTCCTCCCTTCCTGCCAACACTGGGCCTTTGCACTAGCTGTGTCTGCTCCAGCCCCTTTTCACCTCAGCTTGATTCGTACCCATCCCTCAGATCTTTTCTTTTTTTTTTTTTTTTTGAGTTGGAGTCTCACTCAGTCGCCCAGAGTGGAGTGCAGTGGCTGCTCCCGGCCACCGCAGCCTTGCCTGCTGGACTTCGGCAATCCTTCCGCCTCAGCCTTCCAAGTAGCTGGAATTACAGGCGCGCGCTACCACGTCCGGTTAATTTTTTAGATTTATTGTAGAGCTGAGGTCTCGCCAAGTTGCCCAGGCGGGTCTTGAACCCCACAGGCTCAGGCAATCCACTCACCTCGGCCTCCCAAAGCGCTAGGATTACAGGCTGGTAAATCTAAAGTCCTGCATGTCACTCTCCCCACTCTGATCCTCTTCATCCTTCTCAGAGGTAATCATAGCTATATATTCTTTCACATCTTTTATTTTTTTTCCTGAGTCAGAGTCTCACTGTTGCCCAGCCTCAACCTGCTGAGCTCAGGAGATCCTTCTGCTTCAGCCTTTCAAGTAGCCGGAACAACCGGCATGCACCACCACACCCAGCTAATTTATTTATTTATTTATTTATTTTGAGTTGGAGTCTGACTGTCACCCAGACTGGAGTGCAGTGGCCGCTCCCGGCCAGCGCAGCCTCGACCTGCTGGGCTCCGGCGATCCTTCCACCTCAGCCTTCCGAATAGCCGGAATTACAGGCATGTGCTACCACACCCGGCTGATTTTTTTGATTTATGTAGAGATGAGGTCTCGCCTGCCCAGGCGGGTCTCGAACCCTTGGGCTCAGGCAATTCACTCTCTCAGCCTCCCAAAGGTGCGGGATTACAGGCTGAGCCACCGAGCTCGGCTCTGATTTTTTTATAGAGATGAGGTCTTGCCAAGTTGCCCAGGCTGGTCTCAAACTCGCGGGCTCAGGCAATCCTTTCACCTCGGCCTCCCAAAGTGCTGGAATTATAGATGTGAGCCACCACGCTTGGCCTCCAGCTGATTTTTTGATTTATTGCAGAGACGAGTTCTCGCCATGTTGCTCAGACTGGTCTTCAACCCCTGAGCTCAGGCAATCCTCTCACCTTTGCCTCCCAAAGTGCTGGGATTACCATTGTAAACCACAGCACCAAGCCTCATCTCTCAGATCTTGCTTCACACTAGTTGTTGGTTCTCACACCAAACGAAAGCACCACCAATTATTGAGCAACTACAACTTCCTGGGGCCCTGGATCAGCTAAGCAGAATCTCCAAGTTGGAGCCGGGGCATCCTTATATTTGCACATATTGGGCTGAGAGCCACCGATTCAACTCTCACCTCTTCAAGTCTGCCTTCAGCAAGGTCAGTGCCTCCTTTTGTAACTCACTGTTTCTCTGGGTTATAGCAATTCCCAGAGTAGGGGACACCATGTCTTTCCCCACCTATCATGATGCCTGCCCCTCCAAAGACAGGGCTCTGTCCCCAGAGCCATAGGAGCTCAAGGTCAGTAGATTGAATGGAATCCTTCTTCAGCAAGTATCCCCGAATAAAACACCAGACAAGCCGGGCTCGGTGGCTCAGCCTGTAATCCCGCGCTTTGGGAGGCTGAGGTGAGTGGATTGCCTGAGCCTGCGGGTTCGAGACCCGCCTGGGCAACTTGGCAAGACCTCATCTCTACAATGAATCAAAATGAGCTGGGTGTGGTAGTGCATGCCTGTAGTTCCAGCTACTTGGAAGGCTGAGGTGGAAGGATCGCCGGAGCCCAGCAGGTCGAGGCTGCGGTGGCCGGGAGCAGCCACTGCACTCCAGTCTGGGTGACAGAGTGAGACTCCAACTCAAAAAACAAAACAAAACCAAAACACCAGACAAGTGGTTCCTCAGCCCCAGGACACAAGAGTGGGCAGTCGCTAGAGGTGGAGTCCATTCTCATTCCCTCCCCATGCCTGTGGTCTTGGGCTATAAGGAGGACTGGCCCGAAGTCCCTGTGCAAGGATGCCCACCCCGCAGACTCACCAGCTCCCGTCGGAGCCACTCAAGGGCGGAGTCCATTGAGTCAAAGCCACAGATGGCCGCAGGTGCCCCTGGCCCAGGTTTAGCTTGGGCCCTGCGCCAGGCCTGGCTCTGGACCCGGGCTGTCCACTCCAGATATGAGGGCCGCCGAGTCTGCAGTTGCAGCTTGGCCGTCAGCGCCTTCACAGAGTCCAGGCTTTCCTCCTCCTCGTCCTCTTCACCCACTGCCTGGAATTTCAGTGGCCCCAGGGACATGGTGAAGTTGAGGTGAGTGAAGGGCAGGACTGCTGCTCTGGGATTAGAGAAAAGGCTGGCAATGTTGCCCAGGGAGAGGCGGCAGAAGCTGAGGTTGGAGAGTAGGTGGGGAGTGTGAGTTGTGAATGCGCAAGGTGGGTTAGGGAGCTGAGTGTGACAAGGGGAATGAGCAGATGGGTATGTGAGGTCAAGTGTGCAAGGGCTGTAATTTTCCTGGGCTGATTACCCAGGAGCCACGTGATGTCCATCCGGGTGAGGGCAGGAGGAACCCTGCACCTCTGGCCCCTGGGATGAATTTTATTGTCTTTGCCCAGAAGGAGACACCCAGTTCCCAGAAAGGAAGTTGCTCCAGGATGAGAAACGCATCATTCACACCAGAGTCTTGGCCCTCTTCCCAAGACCCAGGTTAAGAGAGTTGAGGGGGAAGGAGACTGACTAGCCACCCCCGGTCCTTATTAGCCCTTCAGCAAAGGAATGTGTCTATTTTTTTTTTTTAGTTGGAGTCTCACTCTGTCGCCCAGGCTGGAGTGCAGTGGCACGCTCATGGCCGCTGCAGTCTTGATCTGCTGGCTGGACTCAGGCGATTCTTCCGCCTCAGCCTTCCATGCTCAGCTAATTTTTTTTTTTTTGAGTTGGGGTCTCACTCTGTCGCCCAGACTGGAGTGCAGTGGCCACTCCCGGCCACCGCAGCCTCGACCTGCTGGGCTCTGGTGATCCTTCTGCCTCAGTCTTCCAAGTAGCCGGAACTACAGGGCACGTGCTACCACACCCAGCTAATTTTTGATTTATTGTAGAGAGAGGTCTTGCCAAGTTGCCCAGGCTGGTCTCAAACTCCTGGACTTAGGCAGTCCTCTTGCCTCCACCTCTTAAAGTGCTGGGATTACAATGTGAGCCATTGCGCCCGGCGGAATACCTTTAGAACGCTGATGTGGGAGTCAGGAGATCTGGGTTCTAGTATTGGCTCTGTGGAACCTTGGACAAGCCACTGACCCTCTTAGAGTTCTGTAGGGATAGATCAAGGATTTCAGACGATGCTCTAAGGAGCCTCAGGCTCCCTTGGAAATCTCTCAAGGCTGCCTGCAGGGGACGGACAGAGCTGTGGGTGGGCTCCTTGCCTTCCCTCTCCCCATTCTTCCCAGAGCTCGAACCAGAGCAGTTCCTTCCTCTCCTCTCCCTTCTTTGTCCTGAGTCAGGATCTCACTCTGCTCCCAGGCTGGAATGCAGTGGCATGATTAGGGCTCACAGCAGCCTCCAACTCCTGGGCTCAGATAATCTTTCTGTCTCAGCCTCCATTCTCCAGTAACTGGGACTACAAGTGCATGCCACCACATGCAATTTTTTTTTTTTTTTTTGAGTTGGAGTCTTACTCTGTCGCCCAGACTGGAGTGCAGTGGCCGCTCCTGGCCACCTCAGCCTCGACCTGCTGGGCTCCGGCGATCCTTCTGCCTCAGCCTTCCAAGTAACAGGAATTACAGGCATGCGCTACCACGCCCGGCTGATTTTTTTTGATTTATTGTAGAGATGAGGTCTCGCTGCCCAGGCAGGTCTCGAACCCATGGGCTCAGGCAATTCACTCACCTCAGCCTCCCAAAAGCGTGGGATTACAGGCTGAGCCACCGAGCCCGGTACATTTTTTTTTTTTTTTTTTTTGTAAAGACAAGGTCTCACTATGTTGCCTAGGCTGGTCTCGAACTTCTAGCCTCAAGTGATCATCCCGACTTGGCCTTTCAAAATACTCAGATTACAAGTGTGAACCACCTTGCCTA